CATTTCTAAGATCATGGCTGCTCGGCTTGCTGATATTCTACCAGTGATTATTTCGGAAGGGCAAAATGCTTTTATTCGTGAGAGACAAATTGTGGAAAATATCCTCCTGGGGCATGAACTGATGCACTATTTAAAAATCAAGAATCGTGGTAAGAAAGGGTATATGGCTCTGAAGGTTGACATGGAAAAGGCCTATGACAGAGTCGAATGGCCGTTTCTGCTAGCGGCCTTGGAAAAAGTGGGGTTCAATGCTGTCTGGAGAGGATGGATTCAGGAGTGTTTGCGCTCATCCTCATTCTCAGCCCTTATGAATGGCACACCTGCAGGTTTCTTTGGCCCTTCTAGGGGGTTGAGGCAGGGTGATCCGCTCTCCCCTCTTTTGTTCGTCATTTGCACGGAGGGGTTCGCAGCGCTACTTCGTAAGGCTATCTTGGAGAAAAGATTAGAAGGTGTGAAAGTTGCTCCGCGCGCCCCTCGGATATCGCATCTGTTCTTCGCTGATGATTCGTATCTGTTCCTGCGAGGGTCCCTCCAGGAATGTGAAAACCTGATTGAGGTGTTGAATGAGTACGAGGAGTTAAGTGGGCAAAGGGTCAATCTGGCTAAGTCTGCGGTCTGCTTTAGCAAAAATATTGTGCTACCGGATCAGGAATTCTTGGCCCAGGTTTTAGGAGTAGGGGCGGTAGGGGTGCATGATAAGTATTTGGGGTTGCCTACGCTACTTGCTCGATCAAAGATGGCAACTTTCCGATACTTGGAGGATAAATTATTGGAGAAACTGCAGGGGTGGAAGCAGCGAACTCTATCCTGGGCGGCGAAGGAAACGCTGATTAAGGTAGTGGCAATGGCGCTGCCGTTGCACGTGCTATCCTGTTTTAAGCTTCCTCTGTCCCTTTGTAGGATCTTGGATAAACATGTGGCCCGCTTTTGGTGGGGGATGTCAGAGGGGCATCAGAAGATCCATTGGATGTCTTGGAGAAATCTCTGTCGAAGTAAGCATGAGGGTGGGATGGGGTTTCGACGTTTTGAGCAATTTAATCAGGCCCTCCTATCGAAAATTGGTTGGCATATCTTGATGGAACCCCAGTCCCTCCTAGCGCAGGTGTACAAAGGGAAGTACTTTCCTGAAGGGACATTCCTTGAGGCTAAGGCGCGCTCTAGGCCCTCATGGGGATGGACGAGTATCCTCTATGGACGTCAGCTTCTGGAGGCTGGTTTGCGCTGGCAGATTGGAAATGGGAGAACAACTCCTCTCCTGCAGGCCAGCTGGATACCTGGGTTGCACCCTGATCCGCCGGTTTATAGTCCTCGGGTGCTGACGGAGGGTCGGGGGCCTTAGGTGGCGGAGGTCATGTCTCAAGGTGGAGGGAGCTGGTGTATGGATAGCTTACGCCAATAGTTTGACCCGGCTACTTGTAGGGCTATACGAGCTATCCCCCTCCCTAGCCAGGAGGTAGAGGATAAACTAATTTGGCATGCCACAACGGATGGGATTTTCACAGTTAAATCTGCTTACCACTTGGCGGTCACTCTTGATAAGCGTTCGGGCCGCTGGCGTGATAGGTTAGTTGGATGGATAAGCGTAGTTGGATCCAGCTGTGGGAGGCTAATATTCCGCCTAAGCTAAAGATTTTTGCCTGGCAGATCTTTAATCGCATTCTCCCTACTTTGGAGGCTCTTGGCGAATAGAAGGTTTCGGTAATTCCTCGGTGCCCGGTTTGTTGGGAGGGAGTGGAAACTTTGGAGCATCTATTCCTCTATTGCCTGGTTGCTCGGCAATGGGATTATTCCGGGTTGGAATATTTGGCTGAGGGGCTTCCAAGGCAGACTTTCCCTCTTTTTCTTAAACGGCTCATGTCTCTGATTCATCAGCCTTCGTTGTTCATGTCTGTGATTGCCGTCCTCTGGCGGATTTGGAAGTCCCGTAATTGGGTGGTGTTTGAGGGGGAAGCAGTTTGGGTTCTTGTCTCTTATGCGCCAGTTTCATCAGCAGTGTGATGAATGGGAGCGGTTGCATGCGGACCCTTCCCCTCACTTGGCTGTGCCTGTCTCCCAGCGCTTACCGGTTCCCCATGTGGTATTGGGGGTGGTGTGTAGGTGGGATGGGGCGATAAGAACAGGATCACATGCTGCGGGGGGAATGGTTGTGCTCTACTCAGGGGGTGGGATCCTCTTGGCTAAAGGGGTCCAGTTCCCGAGTATCGAGGATCCGTTAGTTGCTGAGGTCCTGGCGCTTCGAGAGGCGGTGCAGTGGTGTGTAGCTCAAGGGTTTAATGAGGTTTGTTTTGAGGGGGATGCGAAGGTGCTTATCGATAAAATTCGGCGAAGGGAGACAGAGGTTAGTAGGGTGGGGGCTGTTCTTATTGAAGTGGTGCAATTATTTGCCGTTCATCCGGGTTTGAGTATTCGATTTGTAGGTCGGCGTAGTAATAGGGTAGCCCATTTGGTGGCTAGAAAAACACATTCAATGTACCCGGCCACTTGTGCTGTTTTTGATTTCCAGGCCTGGCTGCATTCCAGGATGTAAATATCTTCTTTGGTTGATTAATATATATCTTTTGTTAAAAAAAAATATCACATTTCTATTGAGTATAACTCGATGCTCAGAAGGTGATCAGACTCGAAATCCCTTAACTCCATCTCCGTAACCCCACAAATACACCCTTCTTTGCCATTGGGTTCAGTTTACCCTCATCCACATGATAATAAACAGGATACCCAAAAACTTTCAGTTACGAGTAATCAGCAGGCTTACCATTTCATTAGGAGTCTTACACTCGAATACCTGTGTGAGGTCCACGGTTGATCAGGAAGCATGCCATATTTACTACTTATGCCCAGAATCTTCTCTCTAGTCTAGCATTAGAGAGCATGCACCGTGCTCTCTCCAACAATGTCAGGTTCATCCTTTCTGCAATGTCATTCTGCTGGGGAGTATCTCTAACGGTCTGATGACGGGCATTCCCTTCATCGTTGCAGAATTCGTTGAACTCAGAGCTGTAGAACTCCATACCATTGTCCGGTCGCAGCTTCTTGATCTTCTTCCTGGTCTGATTCTCCACCAATGTCTTCCACTACTTGAACTTTGTGAAATCCTCACTTTTCTGATTCATCATGAAAATCCAAGTAAATCTTGAATAATAATCAATAATAGATAGAAAATACATGCTTCCTCCAATGGATTCAACTCGTGAAGGACCCCAACTGTCAGAATGGAGGTACTCCAATGGATACCCTTCTTGGGAAACATGCTGCGATGTAGTTTCCCAAACACACAATGCTCACATAATTCCAAATTCTGCACCTTGTGCCCGCAGAGAAGATCTCTCTTAGATAGAACTTGCATCCCCCATTCACTCATATGACCCAGTCTCATGTGTCAGAGAGTGGTCATATCTTCATGATGAACCTGAGATGATGCAACTGCAGCAGAACCTGACAACACATTTCCTTGTAATGCATACAAGGTGTAACATCCCAAACCAAACGAAATAAATAAAATAAATTTATTCTCTATAATTATAAATCTACAATCGAAATTTTATGTCGTGGAATTTACATCATCAACGGAAAAGGATGTAACTAGAAGCAATAATAATTAGGGCTAATACCACTGGAAATACCAACTTTTAGCGAAAGTGCCATTTATATTACGAAACTTCAATAAATCAAAAAATGTTACAACCTATTAGGTGTTTGCGCCATTTGTGTAACACGCATTTCTGTTGACCGTTAGAGTTGATGGTTGATCTAACGGTGGTCAACCTTGTGCCCACGTAGGCGACACGTAGATGCCACGTGGAAATTATTAATTAAAAAATTAAATTCTAATTCTAATTAAATAAAAAATAATTTCCAAAAAATAGTAAAAATAGCAACAACGCACTCTTCTTTCCCCATCTTCTTCCCCTTTATTCTTTAATAATTAATATGTTCCAAAAAATAAATTAATCCTTTCCTAAACCCAAAAATCTCGTCTCAATCTCCCGCAGACAAAGATCCATCAACCCAAAATCTACTCCACTCCAAGAAACCCAAATATCGAATTGTGGGGACGAAGAAATCGCCTCTGAAGGAACCTGTGCTGCCTCGAAGCCGAAAGCAGAGATGTCGCTGGAAGTGGGTGAGAAAGAGACATGGAGATAAGAGTGCCATTTTGATTGGGCCGGGAAGGGACGTCGCCGGAGACGGACATTGAATACGATTTCGATTCCAATAGATCGCGGGAAGGGTAGAAATTAGAAAATCGCCGTTAGATGTGTGAACGAGAGAGATAAGAATTATGAATCGCAATTCGAGACATCGAAATTAATCTGGATTGAGACCGGGAATAAAATCGGAGGAAGGAAATGGTTGGGTGAAGGTTTGCTTAGAAGGAGAGACGACGAAGGGGAAGAAGGAGAAAATTAATCATGGAGAAGGGGATGGGAAGGTGAGGGAGAGTTTATTTATTTATTTATTTCTTTAATAAAAGATTTTCATGTCAGCAGCCGTGTCATCGCTTACTGTATTTTCTGTTAATTACTAACCGAAAATTTAACGGTTAGTATACAATTGTCATATCGAAAATTTCGTAATATAAATGGCAGTTTCGCTAAAGTTTGGTATTTCTAATGGTATTAGCCCTTGTTGAAAATAGATTTTAAAAATTTTATTGTTTTGTAACTTTGATTGTTACATTCAATAAAAATATAAATTATAACTTTATTTAAATAACAAATTTATCCATGATAAAAAATATAGTGGTTCGAGAAATATTAAAAATTTTGTTGATAATATATTTAATGTGATAAATAAATAAAAGGAAGAGATAAAGTAGGAGAAAGAAAAATCTCACGAATCAAAATATAGAATCTCTCCGATTATGAGAGATATGATATCCACAGATTCTAGTGATTTGAAATCTCTAACGCAAAAATCCATCATACAAAAAGAAACAAAAACAATTCAACATTCTACAAAATCTATGAATTCAGTGAATCCATGGCCTCAATCCTTTTACCCAAACGGCGTCTAATAATTTTCTACACACGCACTAACAAATAAACTAAAGAATTTAATAGTATGGAAAAAACTAAAGAAAGAACCAAATAGTTAAATAGTATTCTTCTACATAACAACAAGGAAGGAAACAAAAATAAACATTTCTATGAATCGGCCTCCTCTACTCCTCCTACTCGAATAATGCTAGCGCCTTCGACCATATTCTACGTAAACTAAGAAATCCAACCACAACAATAAAACATAAATAATAATTAAATCCTAAAAATAATTGTCCAAGCTCTCGCAATAATTCAAAAAATCATTTCGAAGGAAATACCCACACCGGCGGCGGCCAAATCAGAACAGGATCATATAACCCCCGACAAGAAAACGGCTCGACAATTCCTTTTCCAACGTCGTACACGCCGATATCGTAGCCGCCATGGCAGTGAGCCTCGTGACCTTCGCTATAATCATCCGTGAAATAGATGCAATTTGTTCTACATCTAGGGTACTCCTCCGCGGAAACAAAACTCGCTCGATTGCCTCCGACGAACAATGCGTAATCCCCTACGCTGTCCACTCTTTCCCAATCATCCCGATTCAGCTCGAAAACCTTGAACGCCGCCGTCTCGTACAAGTCCAGCCTCGCTTTGGGACCGTGAAAAGCCACGTGCGTGGTGTCTTCTTCGCCGTCGAAATGAAGCTCCTCCCGCTCCTGCGGCGGGAAGTCACAATCTCTCCAGTCTTTGTTCCTGTGCACCAACATGAGTTCCCCAGACGGGTTTTCCACCAAGTAGTGATCATTGATGCCCAGATATCTACCGTCGCGCAGAGTAGAAAGCCACCGTGACTTTGTCGGAAGACCATCTGCAAACCAGAGACACCGTAAGAGATCCAGAGTACTCATACAAATTTTTTTTCATAAGAACTCGAGTTATTCGGACGACGTGGTATGTTCATGTTATCAGAGAGCGTTTGACCGATAGAGGTTATGTTTTTCAATCTTTATCAAATCCCCCAATATAAACAATGGTTGTAACACAAAAAATAATATGTTCACCTAGTTCAAACCGAAACCCTACTAGATTACACAACACAAGACCTGATATGTTCAATCTGTGCAATCCCAGAAAACCCCATCAATAGGCTTTCATCGTAGCTAGAGAGCGTGTACGAAATTAAAACGCATACAAACTCTTTTCAAGCAACTCAAATTATCGTGACTAATTGGTTTGTTCGTTTACCAACACAGACGTAGATTTGGCATAGATTAGGAAAGTCAACGATGTCAAAATACGATCGAGTAAGACTTAATTTAACCAAGAACTCCACCAATACGTACCACCAGGGTTGTAAGAGATCACGTCGACGTTCCCGAGGTAGTCCACGGCGTAGAATTGATCCCTCCAGAACACGGCGTCGGTGTAGCAGTTGGTGGAGCCCACGACGGCGGTCCACTCGGCGTCGAGCCCCGGCCGGCAGAGCGCGAGGCCTCCCAAGCAGCTTTCGAACAGGCCCATCACGACGCAGTCCGTGTGGGCCGGGTCGGTGGACATGACTATTTTGTTGACGTAAAAGTGCGCCATCCACGACCCGCTTTCTCCCACCCGGTACACTTCGCCGTCGGAGAAAGATACGTCCTGGCGCACGTATTCGAACCCGGCCCGGTCTGGCCGGTAACTCACCACGCCCGGCAGCGTCGTGATCGGAGGGAGATCGATCCGTTGTCTGGTGGCGGGGTTGATCAAGAAACCTGATAAATGTGCGCAATTAGGTCACAGCAGGTTCAAGTAATCTCTAATCTTAGAGCACGGGTTGGAAAATCGACAATGAAAAAAAAATATAGATATCGTGATTTAGGAACATGATATGTGTAGATAATTCACGAGTAGGAGAAATTAGGTTCACTATATTTGAGAAGATACGGATTATAAAAACTGATAATATATATGTAGTTTTTTCTCCGTACGATCTAACCCTAATCCAACATAATAAGGACCCAAAAGGTAGAGACCATACCCAAAACAGCGAAACAAACATGTATCAACACCATACAATGTAACTTCCAATTGCTGATAATCTGTCTTCCATTCATATAGCAAAGACCAAGAAACTCGACCCCACAGTAAAAAGAACTTGCTATAAGCCAAAAAGATTAACCAAAATATATCATGTATATTGGGATGCAGTGACCGACCTGAAGGGGTTTCCTGGGTGAAGGCCAGCCAACCGAAGCCGCCGCCACGGCAGGTTTTGCCGAATGCTTCGGGGAAGTCGACGTGGTGGAATTCGTTGGTGACGACGTCGTGGAAGCAGCGGCAGTATTCCCCCTTGCATTCTTTTATTCCGACGATGCTGGAATCATCATCGGCCTCATTGCGGCGGCAGTAGGGCAGCATTAGCGACGGGAAGTTTGGCAAATTGCCACCGGACGACGCCATATCGGATGTTGGGAGGGTTTTAGTTTATTCTTCGTGGACGGGTGGCTGTCTTAATATAGAGACGAGGTAGGGTTTGGTTCTACTTTCTATCTATATATAGAAGAAGGCAGAGCTATGCATTAATTGCATGCCCAAAGGCCAAAACCAAACAGGAGAAGGAAACCGTCTCCCGCTGGGCGTCGGGGTTATTAATCTCTCTGCGCAACCGTAAGTATTCTCTGTCAGCCCTATAAATTCGTCACATACTTACGCTGGGGCGAAAAGAAAGTGTTAAACTTGGCTCGTTCCTCCATGTGTATGATCTATTGATCTATGTTTTTTTTTTAAGTAAAATCAAAGTACAATAGTTAAATCATCTACCCGAAACCCCGAAAAAACAACTAATGAAGCCATCCTACAAGATCGAAGGACACTATCTCTACAGGGGACAGCAGCAGAGCTTGTCTTGCCACTCTATGGGCAGCCCAGTTGACAGTCCTCGAAACCGAACTAAAGTAAATACACGAGGAACAGGATCTCAATAACTGAACATTTGGCTCGTTCCTCCATGGGGCAAGTCAGTTTGGGATAATGTCGACGAGATTAAGGCGTAACTCATTGTTATGGTACATAGGGTTGGTGTGAAATGTAGTGGTACGTAAGTGAAGTTTGGAGGGAGAAATGTCCAAGAGTTCATAGAAAACAAAAGCAGCAAGCAGGAAAGCTTGTTCATAAAATGCAGCAATTGCTTGAATGGAATAAAAGTTTTCTTGGTTGAGCACTTTGATGAAATAAAATAATTTTTCATAAAAAAAAAAAATTAGCAACCCTCATGTTGAAGGTAGTTTATGAGGATTTTTTTCTTCTTCTTGGAATGAAATGTATAATGTCCCTTTGAGGAAATCCCATGAAAAAGGAAGTAAATTTTCATTACTTGAACACATTTTAATTAATTGGATTTTCCTACCAAAAACATCAAAGACAAATGGAAAGATGTAAATGAAAATCAATCCTCATCTTGGCCACCTAATCATCCATATTTAAAGGGAAGAGTTGATCATGTTGGACTCACCACATAATTAAAAAAAAACCCTTCACTTTCTCATTTTCTCGCCTTAGTAAGCTCTGAAAGAAAAGAACCGTTCCTGCAGGATGAAGAGCTCCACCATTTTCCTTGTCTTCGTATTGGCCTTCTTGGTTATTGCTGGTAAAATTATTTTTTCCCCTCATTTTTCCAATGTACAAATTATATAATATTACACATTAAAATTATCATGTATGTACATGTAGGAAATGAGGAAGTGAGTGCGGCAAGACCAAATCAATGTAACAAGCAACAACTGCCACCATATGAATTCAAGTGCTACAAGGATGCTGACTGCGTCCCTGGCTGCCTAGCTCAATTTGGACCCAAAGCTGTTGCAAAATGCGACGAGCTGTGGTTCAGATGTTATTGCTGGATTTCCTGTCCATAAATTAATTAAATTCACCTCCATAAACACTATTATTGTATCAAATAAATTTTGATTAAATTAGTCGAGGATAATTGTTAATTACATTGATGTGGAAAAAAGCTCTCAATTACAATCCGGTTATGACATTATGCGTCTGCACAATGTGGGCGTCTTATTCTATCGTTGTGCTCCAAATCATTGAAAGCATTGACGTTGGGGTTTTCCTAGATTCGAATTACTAGATAACACTTCTTCCCAATCCTAAAGGGAAACATTCAAAACGACGAAAGAGGGGTAAGCTCAACTGGTGGAGCTGTTGGTTTGGCACAAGCAAAGTTGTGTATTCAATACACGTGACAACAACCAGTTGGTATATAAAATCATTGAATAGCCTAAATTTTGACAACCTTCCGTCTCGTTTGAGAGGGCGCGGTGGAGCAACGAAGGAACCAAAACTACATTGGACTTTGGACTGGCGCTTTTCGACGAGAAAACTTGCGTTGAATAGCCTTTGTTTTCTAACCAAATGACTAAACACGGTTCATGCCTCTTTAAACACGGTTCAAACAAAGTTGTTTGATTGATAATTTTTGGGAACATAACTACATTACATTACTTCTACTCTTATGAAGGTTCAATGAGAGCTCGAAACTACGACTAGGGTTACTTGCAGAGAAAAATGATAAAGCTTGACGAAGACGTCAATTTTTGTTGTTGCGGAACCACTCTCTCTGTCGACCCTTTCTCCTATTTATAGCCATGTGGAGATAGCTGTCGTAAACAACTGCCTCTTGGATAACTCCCCAAAAAACTGGTTCCTGCTTCCTCGAACGTGATTGACGTGGCCCTTGAATATGGGAGGATTAGCAGTTCATCTCAACTGTCTAGGAACCTCTCTTGAAAATACCATGCTTTTGAAATGTAGCTTAGTATCTTTGCCATGCCTCGTGCCCTTTTTTATCTCGAAGGTTGTGATCCTCCTATTTGCGCCCATGCCCCTCCTGTCTCACGGCTATGTCATTCTTGACCATGGCCAACTTGTCTGATATCTCATATCCATGCACGGTCCATCTTGCAAGATGACCATGGACCTCCCATGCTTAACATATTTTGGGCCTTCGATCTTGGTCATGAGGACTGTCATGGCATGACCTCTTCATTCGCTGTCATGGTCCCTCTCATGACACGACATATGACCTTCCATACTTAATTAGTATTTGTCATGGCATGACCTCTTCATTCGCAACCATGAACTTCTGCCATTAATCCCTCTCGCGAGATGGCCATGGACCTCTTGGCAGTGACGTGGCGCGTTGATCGTTAGTCAAGGCGTTTAACCGTCCAAGTTAACGGTCAAACATCGGGTTTGGCCAAATTGTTTATTTTGGTGTATAGTTCGGGCCAGGATGTTCTAGATCGAAAAGATTGGTCAGAATGTTTATTTTGGTCAAAGTTCAGGCCATACGAAAATATTAAACCAGTGAATTTGTTAATATTATTAGTATCGGACTGGTTTTATAAACAAACCAGGTACTACCTCATAAAGTTTTCCACCCACAAGCTTTGGAGCTATGTGCCAGAGTAAGTACACATCTTTTATCTTATGGGCTTTCTAGTTTCCTTTGATGTGAAACACAATTTTCATCAGGTTGATTTGCCAATTGATTCGTGTTTACAGAAAGTTGCAGCTGCATCTGGTGACATGCGCAAAGCACTTTCTGTTTGCAGGTTTGCAGTTTCTTTCCTATAGTCTGTTTTGGCTTGTATTCTTAAGTTTTGCTATGTGTTTCCCTAACGGTGAAGTTGAATTGCTGTCGGTGACACTTTCATGATCTTTTACTTGACTAAACAAACAGCACATCGTGTTCCCTTATTTCAGATCTGCAGTTGAGGTTCTGGAAGCAGAAGTAAGAGACTCTACAAATAACATGGACTCAGATACTCAAGGAAATTCAGTTGTAAGTCATTTCCTGCCCTGCGTCATCCAATTTAACCCACCATCCCTAACTCAAACAGTAGAAGAAACGTAACTTGCTAAACCTGCTGCAGGTGAAAATTGATCACATGGCCGCTGCTTTATCAAAGGCACTCAGGACACCAGTAATCGACACCATTCAATCCCTTCCTCAGCATCAACAAGTGAGTCTACTTTTCTTCTTTTCCCAGCTAAAAGATAGGATCATCCAATCACAGTATCACAATATGTGCCATTAACCTAACTCAACCCAAATGCAGATAATCCTATGCTCAGCAGTTAAGTTCTTCCGTGGAGGAAAGAAGGATACCATAGTGGGAGAGGTGAGCTTCTTTTGTCACCATTCCACCAAGATGCATAGATACTGAACATCTAGATAGTCTTTTTCAACTTAGCTTTGTTCGAATCATTGATTGCAGCTAAACAAATCTTACGTCGAGACATGCAAATCAAGAATGATTCCACCGGTTGGAATTTCCGAGTTTCTGAGTATGTGCAGAGTGCTGAATGACCAGGTAAAGTAACATAACACATCCATAATATAACACAACTTTCATTCCCAGCCTTTTTTCTCATCAAAACTAGTGACCAGAATTTTTACTCTTTATTCCAACAGGGACTAGTGAAACTAGGACAGTCTCGTGGTGACGATAAATTGAAGAGGGTGATATTGGGCCAGGCAACTTCTGCGGCCCATGCAAGCCATGCTATACGCTTGCCTACTACTCTCGAGAGACCTTCTCCAACACGTATTGAGAAACCACTTTGTGCCCTAATTGATGTATGTAGCCTAGGGTATAAGTATGCGTGTAAGGCCTCTGGCCAAACCATGAAATAAAATCCCGATCGTTTCTCCGTGGATGTAAGCCTCACCTACCGTGAGGAAGACCCACGTTAAACCAAGTGTTCCTTTACTTTTCGTCAATTTTACATGGTATCAGAGCCCTAAGTTCCAGTGCTTCCTCGTCAATCAGCAATCATGGGCGACGCAAAGGATGACAAGAACAAGGGCATCGATTCTTCTTCAGGCAGCGCGGACGATGGTCTTCCGTCCGTTCTCCAACTTCACAATTCCGACAGCCCCGGCAACATGCTGGTCGACGAAATTCTAACAGCATCCAACTACGGCGACTGGGCTATCGATATGAAAGACGCTCTGATCGCTAAGAATAAATACTGCTTTGTTGACGGAAGTCTCCCCAAACCTAAGGATCCCGTCGAGAAGAACGCGTGGCTACGATGCGACGCGATGGTAAAAGGGTGGTTAAAAACCTCCATGGATCGAGAAATTCGCAGCAGCATCAGATTCGCTGAGGATGCGGCCGCGATTTGGACTGACCTCCGTGAGAGATTTGGCCAAGGGAGCTCATCCCGAGCATATGAGCTGCGGCGGCTCATCAGTCTCCTACAACAAGAAAAGAAGCCGGTGTCAAGCTTCTACACCAAACTCCGATCCCACTGGGAAGAAGCGTCGGCCATCTCGCCTCTACCAATCTGCACGTGCGGCCTGTGCACGAGTGGAGTTTCCATACGAGTATGCGAGCATCAAGAAAGCGCTCGCCTGTTCGACTTTTTGATGGGCCTTGACGACGCGTTCGGGACGGTGCGGACACAGATTCTGGCCATGAGGCCGACACCTACCCTCACCGAGGCTTTTAATATGATCCTGAATGCTGAACATCAAAAGACACTCACTCAGAATCGGCCACAGCAACCAGAGGCAGCTGTGTTCGTGGCCAAAGGAGAAGCTGAAAAGGACCAGCGACGTGCTGGGGAAGTACGCAGCACGGGGGAGCAACGGGAGAGGGCACGTTGCACTCATTGCCAACGTCAAGGTCACCTGCGTGAGAATTGTTGGGAGCTTGTTGGCTACCCACCGCGCGAGAGACAAGGCGACAGGTCTCCAAGAGATCGTGACAGACGAAGAAATAAAGGCTCCTTAATCTATTAGTATGAGTTCGTATCTAAAAAATATTTATATCGTATATAGTAATACTTATGAGAAAATTAAAATATTTCACCATGTTTTTCTACCATGGTCTCCCTAATCTAATGCATTCTTCGACTTAAAGTTTAGACATAAATTGAATATAGTTCTGATTCACGTAATCATTTTTCTTGTGTACAATTTTAATAGAATAACATATTATGGATGCGTTTGTTTATAACATTTTTAGCCTATTTCAACAAATATCGTGAAAAAAACTAGACATATGTTGAAGTAAATCACATTTTATTAAAATTCAAACAACATTTTTGAATTTTGATACCTTTCACCTCGGTTTATTCGTTTGAAATTTTAATTAGTTATAAAATATTTTTATGATGTATGATAATTATATATTTTATGCTGGGTTGGGTTTTTACTTAAAAATATCGCCAACCCGACCCAACCTAATTAGAAACAAACCGTAGGGTTTTAATTTTTTTGTGGGTTTGGGTTTGATAATTTCCAAACCGTAGTGCATGGGTCGGGTGATTAAAATGGTTAAACCCGAACCACCCGACCCATGTACATCCCTACTTGTGTACTCTATTATATATTTGGATAATGATATGAATACGTTTTGTCATGTCTCTTTTAATTACTTCTATGAGCAGTCATTATTAGCTAAATATGCGATATACTGTTGGCTGTTGCTACCATCTGCTTGCATCTTGTCTTTATTTAAGTACTCTCTTATTATCAGTGATCTATTTAATTTTACACCTATTACTTGCCATGGTTATTTCGGCTATTAGGTATACACGATAATTCCATTTCTACTACGCTTTATTACATTCAATCAAGTTTCAATTTTCTTTCTTAGCATATACTTGATATGTTAGATTATCACCACTAACCACATGGAGAAGGCTTTATAGAAAGAAGCCAAAAACTCCTTTTCTTAGGGGTCATGATCTGTAGATCTAGATTCATATCCGTATCCAACAAAAATTACCATGCCATATTAAATTTGAGTTCATAAACCCACAACAACTCTTACTTATGAACCATGAATCTCTCCGTGCTTTGTCGATGTGGGATTTGCCTAAGGTTTTACATACCCCCCCCCTGGACTTAACGTCCAAGTTGAGGTTTGCCCCACCATCGTTCAAGAGAGATGCGGATAGGCTCTGATACTACTTATAACATCCCGAACCTTTTCCCGAGCAAGATATTGTCCGCTTTAGACCCCCACCCTCACGGATTTCGACTTGGGGTGCAATTCAAGGTGACTTCCCATAAGGTCACCCATTCTTGTTGTGCTCCACACTGAGCACGTTTAAATTCGGAGTTCTCACAAGAACTCCTCCATTTCACCCCAAAACGCGTCTTGTCAGTTAAGGTCGATTTCTTACTTATGAATCATGAATCTTTCCCGTGCTTTGTCGATGTGGGATTTGCCTAAGGTGTTGCATACACCCTCACGCGTCCTGAGGAAGATACTGTCCGCTTTGAGCCTCCACCCTCACGGTTTTCAACTTGGGGTGCAATTCAAGGTGACTTCTCTCTCATAAGGTCACCCATGTTTTACTCCATACTGAGCACGCTTAACTTCGGAGTTCTCACAAGAACTCCTCTATTTCACTCCAAAACACGTCTTGTCAGTTAAGGTCGGTTTCTTACTTATGACCATGAATCTCTCTCGTGCTTTGTCGATGTGGGATTTGCCTAAGGTTTTACATATCCCCCCCCCCCCCTTGGACTTAACGTCCAAGTTGAGGTTTGCCCCCACCATTGTTCAAGAGGGATGCGGAGAGGCTCTGATACTACTTGTAACATCCCGAACCTTTTCCGAGCAAAATATTGTCCGCTTTGGACCCCCACCCTCACGGATTTCGACTTGGGGTGCAATTCAAGGTGACTTCCCATAAGGCGTCAACGTCCTCCATTTCACCCCAAAACACGTCTTGTCAGTTAAGGTCGGTTTCTTACTTATGATACTACTTGTAACATCCCGAACCTTTTCCCGAGCAAGATATTGTCCGCTTTGGGCCCCCACCCTCACGGATTTCGACTTGGGGTGCAATTCAAGGTGACTTCCCATAAAGTCACATGTTCTTGTTGTACTCAACATTGAGCACGTTTAACTTCGGATTTCTCACAAGAACTCCTCCATTTAACGCCAAAACGCGTCTTGTCAGCTAAGGTCGGTTTCTTACTTATAAACCATGGATCTCTCCCGTGCTTTGTCGATGTGAGATTTGCCTAAGGTGTTACATACCCCCCCCCCCCCCCCCCCCCCCGCTCCTTTGGGACTCAACGTCCTCGTTGAGATTTGCCCCACCATCGTTCAAGAGGGACGCGGAGAGGCTCTGATACCACTTGCAACATCCCGAACCTTTTCCCGAACAAGATGTCCACTTTATGCCTCCACCGTCACGGTTTCGACCTAGGGTGCAATTCAAGGTGACTTCCCATAAGGTCACCCATTCTTGTTGTGTTCCGCATTGAGCACGTTTAAATTCGGAGTTCTCACAAGAACTCCTCCATTTCACCCCAAAACGCGTCTTGTCAGTTAAGATCGGTGTCTTACTTATGAACCATGGATCTTTCCCGTGCTTTGTCGATGTGGGATTTGCCTATGTGTTGCATACACCCCCCCCCCATTGGGACTCAACGTCCTCGTTGATGTTTTCCCACCATCGTTCAAGAGGGATGCGGAGAGGCTCTGATACCACTTGTAACATCCCGAACCTTTTCCAGAGGAAGATACTGTCCGCTTTGAGCCTCCTCCCTCACGGTTTTCGACTTGGGGAGCAATTCAAGGTGACTTCTCATAAGGTCACCCATGTTTTACTCCACACTGAGCACGTTTAACTTCGGAGTTCTCACAAGAACTCCTCCATTTCACCCCAAAACACGTCTTGTCAGTTAAGGTCGGTTTCTTACTTATGATACTACTTGTAACATCCCGAACCTTTTCCCGAGCAAGATATTGTCCGCTTTGGACCCCCACCCTCACGGATTTCGACTTGGGGTGCAATTCAAGGTGACTTCCCATAAAGTCACCTATCCTTGTTGTACTCAACACTGAGCACGTTTAACTTCGGATTTCTCACAAGAACTCCTCCATTTAACGCCAAAACGCGTCTTGTTAGTTAAGGTCGGTTTCTTACTTATGAACCATGGATCTCGCCCGTGCTTTGTCGATGTGGGATTTGCCTAAGGTGTTACACACGCCCCCCCCCCCCCTTCCCCCCTCTCCTTTGGGACTCAACGTCCTCGTTGAGATTTGCCCCACTATCGTTCAAGAGAGACGCGGAGAGGCTCTGATACCACTTGTAACATCCCGAACCTTTTCCCGAACAAGATATTGTCCACTTTAGGCCTCCACCGTCACGGTTTTCGACCTAGGGTGCAATTCAAGGTGACTTACCATAAGGTCACTCATCCTTCTTGTACTCCACACAAGAACTCCTCCATTTCACCCCAAGTAAAAAATCGTAAGGATCGAGACCCAAAGCGGAGAATATCGTCGGGAAAAGGTTCGGGATGTTAAAGTTAGGATTTACGTACTGCAATTTGATACTAAGGGCTCGTCTGGAGAATATGAGTCTAAATCTATAGATTGCCAATAATCTAAAAATTATAACTCTTAGGATTGTTGAAAGGGCTAATACCAATGGAAATACCAACTTTTAGCGAAAGTGCCATTTATATTACGAAACTTCAATAAATAAAAA